TTAAAAATATACATGTAATTGTTGATCGCCTTTGAGTCGATCATGACTCATAGCGACCCTATGAACAAAAGGCCTGAAGCCTTTCTTCTATAACTATCAACATTTATCAAAGATTATATATATAAATATATATGATTGCCATTTAGTTAGTTCCAATTCACAGGGTCCCTACAGCACAAGGCAGGGCTGCCCCATAGCATTTCCAAGATTGCAGTCTTTATGGAAGTCACACATTTCTCCTACAGAGCTACTGGTGGGTTTGAACCACTGGCCTTTTGGTTAGCAAGCTGAGTGCTTAACCACTGTGCCACCAGAGCTCCAGGATCTCCCAGGGAGACAGGGTTCAAAGGAGGCAGAATCTCCCAAGACACTAGAATTCTAATGGGGTTAGATCACCTAGGAGGACAGAATGCTAAGAGGATGGAATGCCCAGGAGGGTAAAAATTGTAAGGAAGTCAGGCCTCCTGCGGGATTCCAAATTCTTGGCTGGTTCTTCCCTAAAGAAACACATACCGGCTGGAAACTCTAAGTCTCTGTAAACTTTCATTAAAATTAATTAAAAAAAAACAACAAACAAAACCCAACCAACACAACCCCGGAAGCTTTTGAGTAATTTCCAGCTGAGGGCAACCCCATGTGTATTGCAGAGTAGAACTGCACTCCCCGAGGTTTTGTGTGGCCTTTGACCTTTTGGAAACAGCCTGCCAGGGCTTTCTTCTGAGGTGCCTCTGGGTGACGGTGCCCACCTTTTTGGTTAGTAGTTGAGTGCTTAATCATTTGTGCCACCCAGGAACTCCGGGTGTTCCCTGGGCGGGTGTGTGTGTGTGTGTGTGTGTGTGAGAATTCTGAAGAAGCCAGAATTCGCAGGGGACAAAAATGTTAAAAAGAACCAGAGATTCCCAGAAAAGTAGAATTCTGTGTGACAGATGATTCTAATGGAGTCAATTAGATGACCAAACTTCCTCCATAATAAAATATTTTTAAGGATCCTCGGATACTAGGGGGCTTGTATCAGGGTGTGGGACAAAGGTGAAACTATAATTGGGTGAGAGCTGAGGGGGGGGCGTGGCTTTTAAGAGAACAGGGTTTGAAGGAGGGGGGAAAGGTAAGAAGAATTCTCCCAAGTGCAAAAAGGCATGGGAGGTAGTATCTCGCAGGAACGTTACAATTTCACATTTTTTCATGACATCAAAGATTCTGCTTCTAGGTACTGCTGGCATCTGTCACTGTCCCAGCCCCACAGCACTTTCCTACAGAATCAAAGCAGAATCACAGACACTTTTCAAGTTAACCATCTCCGAAAGGAACGGAGTACCTAGCTAGCCAGGTAAGCAGGACTCGCTGGTGTTTACTCACTATCTCAACTGTACGGTTTCATGGGGCTAGTTTACTAATCTGTTGTGAACACACGCTGAACTGTTCACGACCGATTAGTGAGTAAGCACCAGTGAACCCACGCTTACCTGGTTTATGGGGCATGAGCCTCTGAAAGAGACACACCTAGCCAGAAAGGTCTCCCAGGGCGCCAATTTCTGAAGGTTGTGGAGCCTTTGGATTATCATGCCTCCCATTCCTTAGAGTTCTAAGAAAACAGCTTTCCAGGAGCTCAAGGCGAGGGGGCGGGGCCTCACAAGTGATAGACGTCTAAAGAGGCGGGATTTCCCAGGGAGCTGCGCGCCCGTTGGTCAACAACTCCAAGAAGGCGGGGACGCAGTGCGTAAGACATCCACAATTGGGCGGGGCCTTGCTGGGATATGGCTTCCCATGGGCGGGGCCTCCCAGGAATTTAGTTTTCCCAAGGGCGGGGCCTCGCTGCTCTGGGAATTCTCGGGGGGCGGGGCCTTCTTGGGGCGGGGAGGGGGGCCTCCCCTGGAGCCGCTCACCTGCGCTGCACAGGCGGTGCATGCGTAGGTAGCTGATGGTAAGACGCATGATGGAGGCCTTGTCCAAGTGGGCGCTGACCCCGCGCGCGAAGGGCAGCGTGTGCGCCAGCTGGTACAGCACCTCGGTCTCCTGGCTGCGCCGGCTGCGAGCTGCGTCCCGGGATTTCTCCTTGCGCAGCTCGGTGCTCGACCTGCGGGCAGGGACAGGGTTCGGCGGGCAGGGAAAGAGCAGGTCAGGACCTGCACGCGGCTGCTACTCAGGGCCCAGGGTCCCCGCGGCCTAGCTGTGCCGCTGGGGCCCATTCGTGGCCCCACTGGCCCTGGGAGAATTACGCATACCTGTCCGCGTGCCAGCTCATGTTGCCTTCCCAGCGCCTCATTCCTCTCTGAGGCGTGCCCAGGGTCGCTCCGTTCCCTCCCTGACTTATCTGCTCTTTATTTCCCAGGCTAGGGACATCTCGGGGACTGAGAGGCCTCCTGCTGGGAGGGGGTGGCAAAGCTGGCTTAAGGCCAAGGAGGCAGGGCTCTTGGAGAATCCGCCTGCAGCTTTCCAGGCCCCCTGCTCTTTCCCCTCTCAGCGGAGCTGAGTCTTGGGAATCTTGGAGAACAGATCAAAGTTCAATAAACCCACCGGCAGGGTCTCCAAGAGGGGCAAGGCCTCACCAGGGAGACACAGCAAACCAATCCCAGGCTTCTGTTCAGCCAACAGTTAACCACTCACTTCTGCCCTTTATATCCACTTCATAGTCCTGAGTTCATCAGGGCATAAAACGCAAACCAACTCCACTGCTTTTCAGTCAGCTACAAAGCATGCCAAACCTCCCTGATGTCTCTGAGGCTGAAAATCTTGACTCTCATCTTTCTCCAGAGGAGTGGCAGCTGGATTCGAACTGGCAACCTTTGCGTTACAGCCCAACTTCATTTAGTAACCCACTAACTACACCAAGATTGAGTTGCATTTTGTCAGAAAGATCTCCAACTTGGGTGTTGTAAATGCACCCTGGTGGTGGTGTGTGTAAGGGAGAAAAGCTGGTGGTTCTAATCCGCTGGCTTCTTCTTGGGTTAAAGATCGGCAGTCTCCTCCTGTAAAGATTTACAGCCTCAGAATCATGACAGCGGGAGGCTAATGGTCAGAATTAACCAATAGCAGTGGGGTTTGGATAAGGGGTTTGAGTGTCAATAAGGGTCAACTCGTTCATCTGCTAATTGAAAGGTGATGATTTGAGTCTACAACAGAGGGGCCTTGAAAGAAAGGCTGGGTGATCTACTTCGGTAAAAACCAGTCACTGAAAACCCTACGGAGGAGAATGGGATCTCTGAGTCAGAACTGACTTGAAGGCAGCTGGCAGTGGTTTTCAGGTCCTACTACTTGGTCAGTTGTCAGGGCAAGCATCTAACTTACACAGACCCATCCATTCAGTGCTCGGACAAACCTAGAAAGAAGGTGATAATATTATCACTGCTGAACAGATGAGGAAACAGAGGTACAGAGAGGTATATGTTGCTCCTAATTAGTGAAGCCAGGCTACATTACAACTGCTTGAACTCTTAAATTGCTTTCTTTATCTCTATGGTTCTGAGTTTGTCTCCAAGACTTAGTGCTGCTTCTTGTTTTGGCCAGTCTTCAAATTTACACTCTAGAATCACCTGGATCCAAAATCTGTAGATTATATTTTTTAAAATAAAACAAACAAACAACAAACCCCATAGGGAGCTCTGGTGGCCTAGTGGCAAGAAGCTGTGCTGCAAGCCCAGAGGTATGCGGTTCAAATCCACCAGATGTTCTGCTGGAGACGGAGGGGCAATCTCCTGTCCCAGTCAGATCTGATTTGGTGGTACACACACACAAAAAGATAATAAAATAAATTTAAAAACAAAATAAAACAAAAAACCACAACAACAACCTTAGAGCCTGACCATTGTTATCAAGTAAATATTGGCCCTTGCATTTCAGAGAACTGCTCCCTGGAGTTTTCTTGGTGGCAGCCGATCACCAGGACTTTCTCACGCAGCACCCCTGAGTGGGTTTCACTCATTAATCTTTAGAGGTACCGCCTACAGTCAGAGTAGTTTTGAGGTTCTAAATCTTTACAGGAGGAAACTTTTCAGCCTTCTCCCTGAGTGACTGGTGGCTTTGTACAGCTGACTTTTTGGTTAGCAGTACAAAACCACAATGCACTACACCACCAGGGCTTCTTCTATATGATATGCCATGAACACCCTATAAAAACTAAGGTGAGCTCTAGTGGCCTAGTGGCAAGAAGCTGCACTGCAATTCCAGAGGTTCACGGTTTGAATCCACCAGGTGCTCTGCTGAAGAAGGAGGAACAGTCTCCTCCTGATTTGTCAGTGCCCCCCCGCCCCAATGTTAAAAAAAATCCCCCCCAAAAAAAGAAAAAAAATCCCAAACCTTCAAAATAGTTACCATGAAGTCAGAACATAGCTGACTCTCCATTGGTTTGCAGAGGCTGTCAGTCACACGGGGTGGGGGGGTGTTGTTCATCTTTCTTTGAAGAGTCTGTGGTTGGAATCCGCCCTCTACTCCTCAGGAGAAAGATAGGTAGTCTCCTCCTGCACATTTTACAGGCTTCAAACCCCACTGAAGGATCAGCTATGAGTCAATTCTCACTTGATGGGTAAGTTCTAATCATTGTTAGAACAGGGCAATAATGTCTCTGCGTTCTAAGTTTATATCGTCTCATCTAGATGAATAATAAGGAAAAGGGAAGCAATTTGCTCTCTTTAAGATTTACAGCCTTGGAAACTCAAAAGAAAGTTGCCATAAACACAGCAAACCAATCCCAGGCTTCTGTTCAGCCAACAGGTAGCCTCTCACTTCTGCCCTTTATATCCACTTCATAGTCCTGAGTTCATCAGGGCATAATCAGGAACCAACGTGGTGGCGGTGGTTTGGGGTTCGAGGTATGTATCATATCGCTAAAGCCCACTAATGAACAGCTATAATTAGGGAGCGCCTAAGTCAAATATGGTCTTTCCAATCACCTGTTATGCATCAGAGAGTTGAACAATGAATAAGGATGACAGACAAATCGATACATTTGGGTTGTGTTGGAGAAGAATGCTGAATGTCCCATGAACGGCTGAAAGAACAGATAGGTCCTGGAGAAAGTACAACCAGAGCGCTCCTTAGAGGCAAGGAGGGCTGCGCTCTGTCTCACTTGCTTTGGGCATGTCGTCAGGAGAGACTATTGGAAAGGTGCAGGGTCAGCAAAAGAGAGGAAGACCCTAAACAAGATGGACTGATTGTGCACACCCATGTTTATCGCGGCTTTGTTCACAATAGCAAGGAGTTGGAAACAACCTAAGTGCCCATCAACAAACGAATGGTTAGAGAAGCTGTGGTATATTCACACAATGGAATACTATGCTGCATTGAAAAACAAGGAACTCATGCAATATTATTCAAAATGGGTGAGCCTGGAGGACATTATGCTGAGTGAAGTATCTCAGTCACAAAAGGACAAATACTACATGGGGCCACTGTTGTAAAACAGGACTGACATCGGGGATGGGGGGAGATTAATAAAGATGGGTTCAATAATGTGTACTGCATTGAAACAGATGAGGGAGAAAACTGTTTAAAAGGGATATGTGATTAGATATTATTGTCATGACAGGAGTCCAGAGCGAAGGCTGCATAGTGGAGTGGACCTGAGGGAGAGATTGTAAAACAATGAAAGAATTTTTCTTTTACTTTTCCAAGAGGCTAGTGTACTGGGAGGGGGAGGAGAATTAGGAGGGGAGAAAAGTGCAACAATGAATGAATGGAAATCCAAAGTCTCTGTAAATGTTCATTAAAATGAATAATAAAGTTTTTAACAAAGATGGCTTGATTGATACAATGATTGAGGGTATCAGGGATGGTGAGGACAGCACAGGATAGGACAGGATGCAGATCTGTTGTTCATCGGGTCACTATGGGTTGTAGTTGATTAGATGGCACACAACAACAACAACGACAAACAACAGCATTTGTCTGTCAGGGAAGCTCTGGAGGCTTTTTATCAATAGGTGCCACTGAGTACGACTCATAGTGAATCCCGTCCTATCTTGGGCCGTCCTCACCATTTCTGATACACTTGAGCCCACTTCTCCAGTCACTGTGTCAATCCATCTCGAGGGAGGTTGTCTTCTTCTTCACTGACCCTCTACCCTTCCAAGCATGACAGCCTTTTCCAAGGAATAGCCTCTCCTAGCAACACATCCAAAGTATAAGAGATGAAGCTTGGCCATCCTTGCCTCCAAGGATCACTCTGGCTGCACCCTTTAGTAATAATGAGTTGCACTGCCAATCCAAGGTACAAGGTTTGAATCCACCCACTAGCTACTCATCAGAAGAAAGATGGGCAACCTTCTCCATCAACTGAAAATCTGCTGGAGGGTCAGTTATGAGGTAATTCCAGCTCAATGGCCCACAGCAACAACAACAACAACAACACAACAACAACAAAATCTGTCTCTCCTTTTGTTTGTGGTGGCTTGCAAGTTGCTGTGATGTTGGCAGCTTTGCCACTGGTATTTCCAATACCAGCAGGGTTTCCTATCTCGGATGGCTAGATTACAGTGGAACTTCCAGACTAAGGCAGACTAGGAAGAAAGGCCTGGCTATCTGCTTATGAAAATGAAATGAACATAGACCATGGTCTGAGGCGCTTTCTTTAGACGTGTCAGCATAAGGGCTTACTTGATAGAGAAACATGGGTCAGCGATCATGAAGACAGAGCAACTAACGAGGTCACCACAGACGGAACTGGCAGCACCATAACCGGCTAAGCATGTATGCATCATCTGGTACTGGCTAAGCGATTTGCCTCTGAAAAGTCCTAGAAGGGAGGCATTTTAAACCTCTATATTACAGAGGGGAAACTGAGGCTCTGCAAGGTGACCAGGAAGTCCCAGAACCAGTAACTGGCAGAGCTGGGATTTGAACCCAGGCGGTGAAGTTGGTGGCATAGCGTGTAACTGGTAGATTTGAACTGAATGATTGACTGGAACAATAGCTTCTGGGGAAAAGACATGCAGTTTCCTCTTGTGGAGATCTGCGCTCTTGGAAACCCGCCAGAGGGTCATGATTTGACAACTTGATGGCAGTGGTTGGTTTTTTTTTTTTGTTTTGTTTTTGTGAGGTTGCAAAGCCTTCATTTTTCTCTAATTCCTTCTTTGTGCTCCA